GTACCGTGATCTCGCTTTGCTGTTGCCTTTGTTTTTGTACGTCTGGCTGTCTGCCCATCTACCGCCACTTTTTCCTGTTTGCTCCGTTACTCCCATGCCCTGGTGCGTAGTGCCTGGTGCTGGCACGTTACCCTTTGATTTTTTCTTCAGGCGGGTGTGGGAAGCGTCCTCCTTTTTTTTTGTTTTTGTCTTATTTTGATCGGTTTCCGAAGGCTCTTTTCTCGAACGGTCGGTGCGACACCTGATCTTTTCTTTCTATCATTCATTTTGGTTTCTTGTTCCGAATGGTTTGTAACCTATTTTTGTTTTGTTTCCCCGCGGCGTCGAATGTGCCGGGTTTTGAGACCACGGGCTCCCCATTTGTTGTGGACTACAGAGAGAGCTAATGTGAGAAACAACAACAACAACAACAACAACAACAAATATGTGTGGTACATAGTCCAGTCTATAGCAGTAGTGGCCAGGGTGTGGGAGGTGACATATTGCACCGAGCAGCAGACTTTATTTGTTTGGTACATATGTGTGGTACATAGTATGTATCAGTAGTGGCCACGGTGTGTGTGTGTTTTTTCGTCCTATTTATTATGGCAACAGTCCCCCCGTTTTTCGTGGTGAGACGTGTACTACACTTTTCAGCGTATTTTTCGTACAACTACAACCATCCAGGGTCACACAGGAGGGGGTAAACACCAGGGGCTTTTTTCTTCTTTATATATTTTCAGGCCCCACCTTCCTCCTGCGGTGCGTACTGAATTGTATTTTTATCGCGAGAAGGTCCAGCCGTCCCTTTCCCTCGTCGACGGTGCTAACCTCGAAGTTTGGTACTCACGAGAGCTTTTTAGCAATATTCCGCTATCACCCGTACATTTCGTAATTTTTTCACCCCACGGGGATTCGAAGTCACGACCCCTGCGACTAGCGGATCACGAGGATACCACTAGACCACCGGGGCGACCGGTCGCGGTCACGGTGTGTGTGGGAGGTGACATAGCACCGAGAAACGAACTACAGTAGCTACGCATAAACTTTAGACCGTATAGACCCACGTAGAGAGGCGGGGTCCAAACCCCAACACCATGCGGCCAGCAGAAACAACTTCGCCAGAGACGCAAGGAATTTCTACTTTCAGAAAGGAGCAGAGAACGCGGCGTCCAGGATACCTCTTGCTGTTGTCGTGGATACCAAACAAAATCGTGACGCGCCCGAATTCTATATGCTGCTGCGGTTGCTGTTCGATTTTTGTTTTCTATTTTTTGGAAGGTGTACCCCACTTAGGGGCAGTTGGCCGCCACGGAAGGCGTCTGCGTCAGTTGGACCAGTGCCGACAGTAGAAGTCACTGAGCAGATAGTAGGACGGTACTGAGCAGAGACCGGAACGGTTTAAATGTGCAGACAACAACAGCAACAACATTGTTGGCTTCCGTAAACTTTGCGGTCCGCTCACCTCAGGCATACCAGGGCGACCCGTCTACACATATTTCCACACCCGAAGAAGGACTGGACGTGATGCACACATTCCTTCTTAACCCATGTCCTTACTAACTCTGGGATCTGTGCAGCAGTACATCACCCGCCCGATGTGGGTGCTTGTCGGCTGGAGGAACACGAGGGAAATGGTAGGGAGAATCGCGGGGCGATACCCCGGCTTCCACAGCGAAGTTTCGCCGCGACCATCTGTGCTTGGGGTGGCAAGCGCTGCTCGGGACAGGTAGGAGGCGTGGAAGAAGCACCTCGCTCACCGAAGAAGGAAGCACAGGGCCTATAGCTCGAACTTCGACGTCTCGCTTTCTCTCTACAGTATTCTAGAGCACAATATGATGAACACCTCCTTTTCGTACCCCACTCTCCTGCCAGTTGTTGTCTACAGTCCAAAATAAGGTCTGGAACAACTGCTGTGTGCTTCATCATCCAAAAATCAGCGGTACTTGTATTGTAGCTTCTCACATTAGGTCTATAGTCCACAAAAAATGGGGAGCTCATGATCTCAAAACCCGGCACATGCGACGCCGCGGGGAATTATAACAAAAATAGGGTACAAACCACTCGGAAAGAGAAAACAAAATCATAAAAAGAACAGATACCGCACCGACCGTTCGAGAAAAGAGCCCTCGGAAACCGATCAAAAAATAAATAAATAAATAAATAAAATATAGGAGGACGCTTCCCACACCCGCCTAAAGAAAAAATCAAACAGCGGGTAACGTGATCGATAATTCGGGTGGATCAGTTCTGCGTGTCGGGAGTGTAGAGCAGCTGGGCCATGACAGGCCGTGGTAGGGGAGGGACGTAAAGGAAAACGTATTGTATTCTTCGGGGGCGTGCTCGTGCTCGTAAATCTGTCACGGCATCAAGCACGCGTCACGCTCATCACGCTCAAACTACCAAACGGATCTCTCTAATTCCTCCGCATCTCATCACTGCAATTTCCGAACGTACGTACTGAAGATCTTACCCGTCATACTATGCTACGAGCACCGCCAGTATATCTAATAGCCCCCCTCCTCGTATGCATCGTCATGCTTCGGCAACAACCAAATTCCTCTTTTACCATCTCTCCCAAACCAAACAAGAAAATTCTCAAGGCATCCAAATCTAATATCCTCCGCAAAACATGCAAGAACCCTCCCAAGTCAATCACAAGAAAAATTCCAACACAACCAAAACTCCTCCAAAACCAAGAAAAATTCCAACACATTTAAAACTCCTCCAAAACAAAGAAGAAAAATCTTGACACACCTCCAACACCCTTTACCACCTTCATCAGACTCTCTCTTTCTCTTGTCCGATCTCGTCTCTCTCCTTCTCACGCCGCTACAGAATACGAATCGACCCCAAAACTCTTCCTTCACTGCAAGTTCATCACAAAGTCACGGTGCAACTCAAAAGACTCCTTGCTAATAGCCTTCGTCAAGAAATCTGCATGCTGAAATTGCGTCGGCGCATGAGTAATTGAAATCTCTTTCCTCTCTACCAGCTCCCTGATAAAGTGATGCCGTATATCGATGTGCTTCGAGTTGGAGTTCGTGATCGGGTTGAGCGCAATCTGAATCGCTCCCTGATTATCCTCGAACACCGGGATGCACGGCATACTCGCATCTGGCAACATAGAACGCCACACCTGCCTCAAGAACAACACTTCCTTCAAGACGTCAGCAATTGCCACATACTCTGCTTCCGTGGTGGAAAGCGTAACGCACCTCTGTGTTCGTGAAAACCAAGTCACCCCCCCACACACACATCACTAGCCCCCAAGACACCGACCTCCGGTCTGCCGCCTTGCTTGCATAGTCGGCATCCACAAACACCTGCATGCTCATACCTGTCACGACGCCCCTCTCAAATGTAATCCCCATCCAACTCGTCCTGTGTACGTATCCTAAAATACCGAGTGCTGCCTTCCAGTGCACGATCTTGGGAGACGCGCNCCTGATACCGACCTCCGGTCTGCCGCCTTGCTTGCATAGTCGGCATCCACAAACACCTGCATGCTCATACCTGTCACGACGCCCCTCTCAAATGTAATCCCCATCCAACTCGTCCTGTGTACGTATCCTAAAATACCGAGTGCTGCCTTCCAGTGCACGATCTTGGGAGACGCGCAATACCGCGCTACTGCTCGAAGTGCATTCGCAATGTCCGGCCGTGTTTGAGTGGCCAACTTCATCAGAGATTGTACCAACTCGCGAAAAGGGACATCAGCACTCGCTTCATTCACGTCAAAGTCGGAGAGCTTTACGCTAACAGGCAGAGGCACTCTCTGCCGCCACTCAACGCCATACTCTGCAGCCAGCTCTTCGGCAAACCTCTGCTGCGAAGTCTTCAACAGCCCTCTCTCTACGTCTCTCTCGTAAAAGCACGCGGAGTACCACTTCCACTCTCCAAGGTTCTTCACGGGGACCATCTCGTTGAGATCCCTGCCAAACTTGTCACACCTTTCCTTCTGCCCTACAGCAAAAATGCCATCCACGTGGACCACGATGATCATGATCA